TGAATTTATGAAAACATTACGAAGTCGCCAGAAATAAAATATTGGATGAAAACCCAAAAAAAACATCGTGGACCTTTTTCCTATCACGATAAGACTTCTGAGTACCGCCGTCAGGTCGCAAAGTAGTGTTGATAACTCGGTAACTTAACTCATGCGTCAATCAACGTCAGGTTTGTTGGTAGTAACCATTGGCGCACTTAACTATGTTATTTAAGTGCTACTCTCGCTAAGAGCGGTCCTCTCGACTTCCCGTCGGAAAAAAGTTTCTTATATTTTTTGCCCATGAAAAGGGTTTAGGAGATATGTTTCAAAAATAGATTAGTTGTTCTCCGATTCTCTTTTTTTGCGTCACCACAAGCCAAAAATGATTTTTGGCCAGACCACCCCTGTGAACAGCGATTAAAAGTGTAAATTTCAAAGATTTTGTCCAGCGCGCAACGACTGCAACAATGTAGCTCACGGAATTCTATCTTGCTACAAGTTACAAGGTGTATTCAGTTAGTTCACAGACAAAATATGGAAACTTAAGCTAAAATATTTTTCATACTAGCGTGATCAGAGGAGACCCTTCTCTTCGACCTTAATTTGCATATCAAAAATTCCTTGCTTTGTACGAAAGAATTCTCAAAATGCAGGCGTTAATCGGGCTGAAAAAGCATATCAGTGCATAGTTTATACACCAATGCAGTTTCTCCCGAAATTTAGTATACGGAACCCGATGAACTAACCCTCCCTTCTGCAAATTTTTTTCCGTAATTAATGATGTTACGCTCTAATGGACCACAACAGTCTTGAGTGACAAAACTCGACATTTCCCCGCGACCATCAAAATCAATTGGACAAACCCAGGCGGTGTGCCCACTCCGATTGCGTTGCATTGTGGTAGCTTCAATTTCCATATAGCGGTGAAAGCAGCAGAATTCGGCAGATTTTGACTAAACATTCCGTAAAAAGTAGGCCTTTCCTTTTTCCTTTCACCATAGGTAAATGTAATTTGATTTATTCTGAATGTGTAAAATTATTTTTTGTTCGTATTTGTCGCGTATTCTATGGTTCTCAAGGACAAACGCGATCACTGTTTTTTTGTATGCAATTTGAGACCGGATTTCAAGAAGGTCAAATTTGATGTACGTCGTAGTTTGGCGCCTTTTAAAGATTTGGATGGCTGCTTTGATCCTTCTTGAACAGCTCTGACCAAACGTTCTCAAACGCTCTCCAACGGTACATGTGTTTCTCGCACTTTAAGTGCGGGTGTTTGAGACCGATTATGGCCGAGAAAAGGTTTATTGTTGCGTTACACAACGTTACTATTATACACTCAATTGTGTTGTAAATCTACTTTCCTAAGTAGAAGGAAATTATCTTATCGCGAGTGTTGTATGTTAAATCTACTATCTTGATCATTGAATGAAAGGCAGTTGAATTTGAGCCATGAACGGAATCACTTGACCAATGAATATCTCTACAGTGCGCACTGCGACACACTGGGTTAGCCGGTGTCACAGCGGATTTGGATCCCCCGCGGATTTGGACCCCCCAGTCCAAATCCGCTGACGGATATGGACCCCCCCTTCGCAGATTTGAACTCCCCTACCAAACTTTCCTTTTAAGCATCCTTTCCTTTTAAGCATCCTTAAAACTAACCCTTAATATCACATCGTAAACGGAAGTCATTAAAGGATATCCTAATAACAGCTAAGCTTTCAGGTTAGAAGATTTTAAAGCGCAAACGAATGGCAGGAGTCGCTCAAGCAATCAACACCTTTTAACGATCGACTACCTTTTACTTTCCGGTGTCCCAGCGGATTTGGACCCCCCTCCGTGAATTTAAATCCCCCACAAAACTGAGTGAAAACATCATCCTTAACGTTCTACTAAAAATGGATGATACTTTACTTTCCAGTGCGTACTAAAGTATGTTTTTAATTCAAAACATGCGTATCGTTGATGCATACGAACTGGCATCCCGTTGGATGTTTCTTTTGACCAAGGGAAAATGGGCAAGAATTTAGTTTAATGTT